CGAAAATTTCATAATTTCCAGTAGTGGTTATAAATCTACAATATAGAAATTATGAATTTACAGTTTAGAAATTATGGTGATATATCCCGTGTTCACCATGTGCATGGTGAACACGGTTCCACAGCATAACTATTGGTGTATCAATTGATAGTAACATACAAAAATTCTCAACCAAACTTCATTTATGTACATAATTACTTCCAAAAATAATCAAACCAAACTTATTGAGACGTCAAAGATAATTAAATTTATATCAAGTTTTCATTGATTAAGTGAAATTGAAGAAAACAACATATTACAATTTACCACTTTACAAGTACCAATTTTTAATTTTGTATTAAAGGATGTGAATTACTCATTGTGTCTCATTTTATCTGTCATACTTACGATTTATTGATCAAATTAACTATCTCTTATTTATTTAAATTTTTTAGTACTTTTTTACTTATTTTTAAATTTGATTTTTTGTATTTAATAATACTTTTACTGTAATTTTTAAATATATAAATTTTGTATAATAATACTAAATTTAATATTATAAAAAATTAGATTAAAAATAAATTCAATCAAATCTCGTTAACCGAATTAAACACATGAAATGAGACGAATGGAGTAACTTATATATTTAATGCTTAAATTGGGAATCGAAATATAATTAATAAAATTTAATTATATGTTGGCTTGACGCACTACATCTTTTATTTTGATTTCTTTTATGTATAAATGCGTTGCGTACTTGCGTGTATTATTATTACTCCATTATTTTTTAAAAATCTGCGATATGTCCACCGACCTTACGTGGATGTCGGCTGCGAGAGTTTCGAGGTGGATCGCATGGTGGCCAGTGATGACCACGTGCTCCTCCTTGGGATTCCGGCTGCGCGTAGCAGCAGCCTACTACCCAAGACTTTTTTTTTGGTTTTGTTTTGTTTTTTATTACAGCCATTTATTATATAAATAAAAATCATTCTTTTGTCTAAAAATCATTTATTATATAACTAAAACTCATTTTTTACAGCCATTTATTATATAAAAATCATTTATTATATAACTAAAACTCATTTTTTTTCACATTAATTCATAACTGTTAAATTCTTGTAATATTTAATTCTTTTGATCAATTTTTAACCAATTTTGTAAGATCTTCATTGGCATCAATCTCAAGGCTACTAATCCTACTATATTAAATTATATGATTTAAATATTATTTTTTAGGAAAAATACTATTCTAATTCATGTTACAAAAATATCCTTTCAAATAACTTGCATGACTATTATATGAGTGATTCTAGCTAAAAGTTATTAGAATGGTGTAATGTGACAGGAATTTGGTACTCATGAATTAAATGTTAAAAAAAAAAAAATTAATACTTAAGAACAAATGTGAGAAATGTACAATAAATTAAACCGCAACCAAAAGTAAAAAAGGCTCAAAATTAAAAATTGCATGAATAATTTTATACTATATTTTATTTGAAGATTAATTAAACAAGGTATACTATGTATTATTTTCAATTTTTAATACGTAACACATTTTAACTTATATATAATATGATAACTATAACTATTTCTTAATTATCTATTTATGAATACCAAACTAGAGTTTTAGATTGGACCAAGTATTTTGACATTGATAAAAACAATTTAATTATTTATCAATACTCATTACACGGCCCATGCTGGGTACTTGGGTAGGCTGCCTCCCAATTATATGATTTTTTTTTTTTTTTTAAAAAGGAAAAAGGCAAATGAAATTCCACTACTCTGGTCTAATGGTACCCGGGTTGGACTTCCATTTGGAAGGTTGTAAGTTCGAGCTTCAGTGGAGGCGTTATTGGTTCTTGGTTGAGAAAGTATATGAAACAGATACTATATTGTAATAGAGCCAGTCGCATTCAAAAAAAATTCCACTTTACTTGTTTATAAACAAAAATAATTTTTTGGTCCAACAACATTTCTATGTTAACTTTATAACTTTCCATTTAAGTAATATGATCTTTGACTATTAAAACCATATTTTTAATCTCTCTTCAACCAAATCATTTAACAAGAAATGATTTTGATTTTAACTCTATAAAGCTAAGTTGATCAGACAATTGACTTCAGAATCATAAGGTTATAAGTTCGACTCATCATAAGGATTCTTTATTATTGACCGTCACTACCCGATAGTGTACACTAGGTAAATTTCGTTCCTGTGTGATAGCCCGCAAATCACACACAACATAGGAGAGATAAATTAAACTAGGAAGATCATGTGCGACGAGCTCAAATGAGAGAGTGTTAATAAGAATTAAACTCGTAATTTTTTAATACGAGCATCATACTCCATCCACTCAACCACCTCTTTCAGAACATTTAAGATTTAAAGAATACTTGAATGTGGAAGTTAAGAAATCTATGTCATGATTTCATCCCCACTTCATGGGATAATATGGTGCAACCTTATACAAGAAATGAAATGTTCACATTATATTAGAAATATTTGAGGATAATTTTGACATTTCAAATAGCATTCTGCAGGGTACTCCATCATCAATGTATATTGCCACAGGCCCCCCATGCAATCATATACCTATATCTAATTGATATTTTTGACTCTTGCAAGTTGCAATCATTCTTGCTTGCTTATTAGATTATGCTTATAGGCCTTAATCAAGTTTTAATGATTGATTATATAGTTTTTTTCAAGTATTAAGGTTTTTAATGATACAAAAACCAGCCTAACTAGTTTAATAATAAGATCTGATTTTTTTTTTCTTGGTCAGGGAAACAACCTCAATTTTAATACTGAAATAGCTGGTATGGCCTGAAGATTTAAAACTATTCCATACTTAAAGTCAATGATCGAACCCTTGACTTTTGGTTAAGAATGAATAAGTCTCTTTCACTCAAACACACTCCGAGGTTATCAAATTTTCTTTGCAATAATGTAATGTACGAAGTGAAAAGTTTAATTGTGACAAAATATAAGGCAGGCCCTCACCAATGAGTACCTGAAATTTATAGAATGATTATGTGAAGATGGATGTTATGTTTTGTAGTGAGAAGCTAAGTGTGAATGAATAATGAAGCTAGGATATGTCCACTCATGATTGCTTTAGTATCAAGGTTTACAGTTCAGGAAAAATGAATGTGAAGTTGAACAATAATGAATCTTACTTTCATATGGGACTATTGTTGGTTGGATACCACAAAACAATATGTTTTTCTTTATTTTATTCTATTTTTAAAAAAACTCCCGTAACATAACAGTTTATGATATTTAATAGTCATTATATTTTAAGTAATTTAAAATTGTATTGCTATCTGACTCTATATGAAAGTAACTCTTTTGATATTTTTTGTTTTGTTTATCGACCTTATAATGAGGATAACTATTTTACCAGCCACAACACTTTACTTGGTATTATCAATTTACTTACTTTAAGATATAAAGAATCATTGGACGCGTAAGAAATATGTGTTATTCCATCCACTCCATGGGTGAAAGTGAAAGTGTGAAATGACCTGATGTGTTATAATCTGGTTCAATATTATACATCTCATATAATTGTCACAAAACGCAATTTTTTTTCACCTACCTAATATAAAAAAAATATATTAACTAATTCTAATTTTTTAAATAAGAAAGCAGTTCATGGGAAAGAGAGAAAAGAAATTGAATCCGATTATAGTGGGTCATGTTCAACACGTAAAATACATATACAAAGATAATTTGTTACTTTTGCTAATTTTAGCGGCGGAGTTTATTATTGGTTTACGTATTTGTATTTTAGGGTATATACATGTACACAACATCCTTGTTCCTTTTCATTTTTCTAGACCATGATAATAATAAAAAATTTATCATTTGAATTATTATTATTATTATTATTTTTTAAAAGACCCGTTAGGAAATTTGACCAATCTAGAAAAAAGATACACGTCCCTTCCCAAGACGGAAGTCGGAAGGTCAAAGATTCAGCTAAATTTTAATTTTATATAATTTAAATATCTATTATCACTGTACTAAAAAAAATCTATTATCACTTTATTTTTTTAAAAAAATATCTATTATCACTTAACATATTTTTTTTCCCGATAAAGGCAAGTAAAAAAAAAAATCTACAAGAGAACATTTGGATTTTATTTATTTGTTATTTGTGATCATTAGACATAGTTGTGTAAGGTAGACTGACATTCGTTCACATATGCAGGTCAATTTATTTTTAAGTGATAAATTGTGAATAAGAACACAATGTCTAACTCTACCCGCTGCAATGTAGGAATTATACTCATTGAGTAAGTGTAGAATGATAAAATTTTACCTTTATGAGCAAACTAAACTAGCTTCGATAATCACAAATCACCCAAAAAAAAAAGTGTTATAAACTTTAAGTAGAAAGTGTTGGATTCTAAAATGAAAATTATTAACCGACTCTTAAGTTTTACTTCTTACTTTTACTCATTCTTTTTAAATTTTGATGTTAGACATTTTCTTGAGACCCATGAAGGAGATAATTTATAATTTATTATCTCTTACAACATTAAGAAGTAAAAGTGAGAAAAATCTGTACGGACTTAGGTCAATGATTTAGTATACAATATTTGAAAGAAGAGATTAAAGTTCGAACATCAATAACGACGATGTAAAGATTATGTCCAAAGTAAGCAGATTTTTTTGTGTACACTGACATTTAACCATGTCTACTAACTCATGAGTTATTCTAATTTACATCTTTCTAAATGTTGTGTAACACCTGAATGTGAGGACTATTGGATTAGGGAGAAAACAGGGATGGAAAATACGCGTTTGGAGAATTTCGAGATGGATAGAAAGAATTTAGGAATATGGGGAAAAGAGTAACGTCATGTCGGTAAAACCGAGTAAGATGAGTGAATTACAAGATCCAATACAGGAATGGCATCACGTGTAACTAAAACCGTGACTATACAGCTACAGCTTCAACAACTTTTCCAGGTTTTACCACAGTAAAGTATATGCATTAAATTCAGTGCACCACAACTGCAGATACAAGATGTGCCTATATATATATATATATATATATATATACCCATTATTAAAGAATCGCTGTGGCTGAGAGTTCGCTAAGCTGTCAATGGCAATGGCCACCCTCTCCGGGGCTCTACTTCTGCTCTCCATTCTAACAGGTCATTTACTTCTCCTTTCTTGCATTTTTTTCTGTCTCTCTACGTTCCATATACACAGCAGCACAGCTAGCTTTGTAATTGAAACGCTTCCTAAGCTTCTTTCTTTTTCCTGGGCAAGTGTTTTTTTTTTTCTTTTTTTTTTTCCTCAATTGGGTTGATTTCCATCGGTTCTGTGTCCTTTCTGGGTATTGGGTTTCTGGAAATGGGCATAAAGATTCAATCTTTTCTTTTATTTAGGAATGGAAGAAGATTCAGTTTTTCGTAATTGTTTCTTCTTGAGATGTAGTTTTCACCAGATGTGGTGGATGGTTGATTCTTGATTCAGGGGAATATGAATCTTGGTGTATATATATATATATATATATATATATAGAGTATAAGTGGTTCTGCTTAGCTACTGAATATGAGATTGAAGTTCTTGATGTTGATTCTGCAGTTTTTTCCCCCTTCATTCTGTCTAATTTTGGATTCCAAATAATTACCTTTATCTATGAGTTAATCTTGATTTCAATGTATTGAAGATTTAAAAGTAATTTCCCTTGTAGAATTGAAGTTGCTTTCTTGATTCTTGGATCTGTTAAGACTTATTTGTGATTTTTGTTTCTAAGCTTCTGACTCATTACCATTATGCACTTAGATTTATTCACTGATAGCCAAAGCATTGGAGTTGGGATAAACTATGGCCAAATTGCCAACAATCTGCCTTCACATTCACGAGTTGCGATGCTCCTAAGATCTCTCAACATTAGGAGAGTGAAACTATACGATGCAGACCCGAATGTGCTAAGCGCATTTTCGAATTCCGAGGTTGAGTTTGTGATTGGTCTCGGGAACGAGTACCTGGAGAAGATGAGTGATCCAATGCAGGCTCAGGCTTGGGTTCAACAGCACGTTCAACCGTACTATGGGCTAACGAAGATCAGTTGCATCACTGTGGGGAATGAGGTCTTAACTGGGAATGATTCCCAGTTGAAGTCTTACCTTCTTCCTGCAATGCAGTCTGTTCACTCGGCGCTTGTGAATTTGGGGCTAAGCGGTGACATTACTGTCACGACAGCCCATGCTTACTCGATCGTGGCTAATTCGTTCCCACCTTCCTCGGGGTTGTTTAGGCAGGATCTTGGAGAGTATATCCATGCTATTCTTAACTTTCATGCTCAAACCAAGACACCATTCCTCATAAATGCTTATCCCTTTTTCGCCTACAAAGATAACCCGGGGCAGGTATCCTTGGAGTATGTTCTTTTCCAGCCTAATCCCGGGACTACTGATCCCATCACCAACTTGAAATACGACAACATGTTTTATGCACAAATCGATGCTGTCTACTCTGCAATCAAGGCAATGGGGCACACGGATATAGAAGTGAAGGTTTCTGAGACGGGTTGGCCTTCGAAAGGGGACTCGAACGAGGTGGGGGCGACAGTGGAGAATGCTGCACAGTATAATGGTAATTTGCTGCAACGTATTGCACAGGGCGAAGGTACTCCAGCAAAGCCCTCGGTGCCAGTTGACGTGTTCGTTTTTGCTCTTTTCAACGAGAATTTAAAGCCGGGTCCAACTTCTGAGAGGAACTACGGGCTATACTATCCTAATGGGAACCCGGTTTATAACGTTGGATTACAAGGTTACATTCCACAAATGGATTATTCTGCTTCAAGTGGTAGTGTAAGTATTTGGCTTCTGCTATCCATTTTGTGTTCCTCTTTCGCTGATTTGGCTAAGGCTCGTGTTTTATTTGTTGTTCTGCAGGTATTGTCTAGTCCCGCTTTTCTTCTCGTTTTTATACTATACTTGATACATGTCTGGTAGCCTGAAAACACAACAAATTGTAGAGAAGAACTATTGATTGCAGCTCCTAATTCTTTTTTATGCTAGAAATTGATGGATTAAAGGTGAGAATCTCAATTTTTCTATCTATCTTAGTCCATTTTTTGCCTTTTCTCTTTGCATTTGAGTATTAATATTGGTTGGTGTATAAATTTCACCATTTTCTTGGATTCCTTCCTTGCTTCCATTGAATAATTGTTATTTTTTGAAGATGTGGTGATGGGTCTCCATCTCTGCTGACCTCCACTAGGCACTCACTACCAATCAGGCATATGAATCTCATTTTTCAGTAAACTTTTCAATCACCTTCAAATGACAAAAGTCTATATTGGCTTCTATCTGCAAGATGCCTCAATCAAATTCGATAAATTTGTTGGTTTTTCGTGTTTGCATTAATTCATCAGATGACTACATCTTGTGTCCTTTTGCCCTTTTTTCCCTATGAAAATATAAAATGTGTTGCATCATTCTGAGGTGGAGGTGTCACTTTCACTCTCTCTTCTCATCTTCAAAGCCTAATCAAATATTTCCACCTTTTTTAATCTTCAACTTTTCATTATTCATTCGCAACTTGCTTTCTTCTGCAGTTAGTATATGATTTCTCCTTTTACAACTTGCTTCAATTCAAGATTCAAGAAGCCATCCATCCCTATCAATCAAACTGCAAAACCCTTTGCCTCGTTCATACCTTTGAAATCTCGGTTGGACTGTAGAAAAAAAACACCAGTTTTGCCTACTTTTGCCTGCCTTTTTTCGTCAGCCGTTGAAAGTGGAGGCGATTATGTTGAATGAGAACATTTTAGTTTAGTCATAAATGTGTTGCTTAAGCTAACAAGCCAACCAGCCAGCTGCCTTGATGACATAAAATTGTTGGAGCCCATAATGTTTTGTTGGGCATAAAGAGGATAAGATTGAGAGGCAGAGGAATCAGATTACAACTGGTTTTGGGTGGCCCATGAAAACACACCATTTTTTGTATTATTATTCATGTTCACATTATATTTGTAATTAGGCTCATCTGGAGATTCAAGAGTTAATGAGAATTGTTGTTTTGAATATAGAATTAATGTTGCATGTAAACACAGGCTGTTGTTCTTGCCTTGTTTGGCAGGCCGGCTGGCTCTGAGTATGATTGGAATCTTTAAAAATTGTTGCTTTCAGATCTGTTTATATTAGGTGGTATACAATAGAAGTAGGGGCTGGCCTGGGGAAGTTGATTCTGATCTGTCTGACTTTTTTTTTTTTAATCTTTTTTTTTTTGGGGGACAGGAAGACAAGCATGGGAAACATAGAGATTCAGGATGCATGATTTCACATACACAATTGATCTATAATAAGAGAGATAGATTATTTATTGCAGAAATTATAGGCTTCTTTTTTGGTTGTTTTTATGTGAATATATACATTGTATTTCTCATTTTTGTTCATTTCTCTATTCTTTATATTTAGTTATCATAAATAATTTAAAAAATCAATCTTTTCGATCTCTATCTCTTTTTAATAACAACAACAACGACAACAATAAAATTAAAAAAATAATAATAATAATTGCCGGCCAAAGTCTATGACCAGAGAAATCTTCTTGTCATATTTTTAATTAGTCTTTTTTTTTTTTAACCATTAACATATTTCAATTATTTAAATAGATACGAATAATATTAGGTATAATTATATATAATATATTCTGTTATATCATGTATTATGATATACATATATTGATTAATCGTGTTTACAAAGTATATGAAAGTATGGTATGTATTTATAGATATATAATAAATAATTCTAATTACAGTAGGACAGGTAAAAGTAGAGCTACAATAATATTTAGAGATAGAGTACGATAGAAATCTTAAAGTTGATAAAGTACAGAGTCCTAAATACGTGCCCTCAAACTTAAAGGCTCTCTAGAGAAAACATTGAGTTTGTCCTTTAGAAGATCGAATCTAGCAATAGTGAGTGGTTTGGTGAAGATGCATATCTGAATGTTGGTCATTTGTTGAGATGTAATCCACTTGTAGCTCATTTGGTGCTACTTTCTCATGAACAAAGTGGTAGTTTATTTCTACATGTTTAGTTCATGCATGAAAAGTAGCTTTTGCGCATGGATCAATTGTGTTTACAATGTATTATGATATACATAACCTCGTTACTTCTGTTGAGACATTTACTATATATAGCTTTGTATTTAGCTTATATTGAAGATTTAGCCACTATTTTTTGCTTAGGACAAGGCCAAGAGATTAAGTTTTTGCCAATAAAGATAGCAAAATCACTAGTGAATTTTTTGTTATTAAAGCACCCGGATAGTTCAAAAAAACATGGATATCATCAGAGCCAGATTTTATAAAACGTAGATCGAAGTGTAAATCTGAGCGTTGGCGGCCGCCATTATATGGTTCGGAAAGAAAACTGATAATTGGCTTGCCGCTTCTCACGCTATAAATACTACAATTAAGGTATTCTTTGGTTTCTATTTCTTTTCATTTTATGTGAGTTGAATAGCATGTTAAAAACGATTGAAGAGTTTGCAGGTAAATGTAAAAATTAATTAATTAAATATCAAGTTCGCGTGGCCTAATGGATAAGGTGCTCGCCTCCGGAGCGGGAGATTGTGGGTTTGAGTCCCATTGTGAACGGGGGAATATACATACCAAGAAATTAAAAAAAAAAAAAAAAGTGATCGTAAGTTACCATCAATTTTAGCAGGAAATCTGGCATTAATAATAAATTTTTAAAACAAAACGATGGGGAAGGAAACCTGACATTAATAATAAATTTTTAAAACATAACGATGGGGAAGGAAACCTGGCATTAATAATAAATTGAGTTAATACCTAAAATCGTCCTCGACTATAGTGGTTTTTCTCAATTTCGTCCTAAACGACTTTGGTGACCTAATATCGTCCCAGACTTTTATGTTTCGCTCAATTTCGTCCTATACTTTTGTGTTTTTGCTCAATTTAGTCCCTCATTTGTTATTCTATCCATTTGGTGTTAAATAAATAGACAATTAAGTAATTTTAATATTGGCATCTCTTTACTCATAGACATGTGAACTGCGAAATCCTTTTTTTTTTTACGAATTAGTCCCAGAATTACTCCTAAAACTGCGAATATAAAATTTGATTTGCAGGTCCGGGAGTAATTCTGGGTGTAATTCGTACAAGAAAGAGGAATTTCGCACTTCACAAGTTGAAAGTAAAGAGAGATCAATATTGACATTACTGAATTGTCCCTAAATTTAACACCAATTTGACGGAATAACAAATGGAAGACTAAATTGAGCGAAACACAAAAGTCTGGGACGATATTAGGTCACCAAAGTCGTTTAGGATGAAATTGAGAAAAACCACTATAGTCGAGGACGATTTTGGGTATTAACTCATAATAAATTTTTAAAACAAAATGAAGGGGAAGGGGGGCGGCCACAGATGCAACGTAAGCAATTTTAAAAATCAGTGAAATTACATACATTTGGAGTATTCAGTGGCCTAATTGCACCTTTTTTTTTCGTTTAGTGGCCAATTTGAACCTTATTCCGGTATAGAAAAACAAGGAGGCAAAAAAATCTCAATTTGTACCTTCTTTCTGTTCCTATATCATCATCATTTCCTTCATTGGAAGCCTCATTATCCAATACAGATTTATTGATAATGTTTCTGAAGACAAATTCACCAGCATTCTTACACCACTGACTCATAGTTACTATGTTGATATGGTGGCTTATGTGTTGTCGTGTTGAGATATGCAGGAAATTGGAGATTCCAAGAATTGAAAGAAGAGCATGGAATTTGATTGTAGAAGTATGAGTGCTTAGATTCGCAACATTCACCAATCATAGTATAACAAAACCTCTCCATTATTGTCTCTAGCTTATACGCCAAGTTGAACCTATTATTAATTCTTCACATTTACAATTACTCGAATCTTACTCTGATCAACAAGTTGTCACACCATCATTGATTCATTGTACAACACTCCTTAAAATATCACACCATCTTTGTATTATTAATAGAGTTCATGGCTTTCAAAGTACAACTATAAGAAGTCAGACAAGAGTTTTATGACGGCAAATACAAACATCCTCCAAAAATATCATCTTAATCTTAAAGGTGCCCATTTCAAACGCAAATTATGCTGTGCAACCGAATGCACCTTGCAAGGTGGATACGGTTGCAAAACGGCGCCGTTTTGGTTAAAAAAAAAAAAAAAAAAAACGCGCGTCCCACTTAAAGAAGAAATCAGGTTCGATTCCCGGCAATAGCATTTTTATATATCCAAAAATTCATAACTATATAACCACAATTTCATAACTATATATCCACAATTTCATAACTATATATCCACAGTGAATGAATGAAGTAAAAATCCACAATGAATGAATGAATGAAGTAAAAATCCACAATGAATGAACTAAATATCCACAATATATGATTGAACTAAATATCCACAATGAATGAACTAAATATCCATAAATTCATAACTATATAACCACAATTTCATAACTATATATCCACAATTTCATAACTATATATCCACAATAATGCTATTGCTGAGAGTCGAACCTGATTTTTTTTTTTTAAGTGGGACGCGCGTTTTTAATCAAAACGACGTCGTTTTGAACCGTATGCACCATGTGCATGGTACATTCGGTTGCACAGCATAACTATTGCATTTCAAGCCTTCAAGCCTCCAAAAATTCAAAAATCAGGCCCATCGAGGCCAACTCATACAATCACGGCAAATTATATCGTGCACCAGGGTGCACAATACATTGCGTCCTAGTTAAAACGACGTCGTTTTATATCAGTTTTTTTTTTTTTTTTTAGAAATTTCGTTTTTCGTTAACTTCTAAAAAAAATCTCATATTTCGAATGTACAAAATTGTATAGTAGAATACACATAAACTCATAACATAATACACATAATCTAACATAATACATAATACACATAAACTCTTAACAAAATAAACATAAACTCTTAACAGAATACAAATAAACTCTTAACATAATACACATAAACTCTTAACATAAAAACAACATCATTTTGGGCAAGGCGCACAATACATTGTGCGCCCTGGTGCACGATATAACGATTGTACAATCACCATTATTTCTCTGTCTGTGTGTGTATATATATATATATATATATATATATATATATATATATATATATAATAGAGATCATATGCGAAGGATGTCTTAGATGAAAAATGAAGTTAAATCTCATTATTGATTTCGTCCAGATCTAGTGTCCATAATGAAGAAAAGTTTTTTAAAAAAATTAAAAAATTGCGGTGGTATTATGGTAATTTAATGTAAGTTTAGTTTTTTTTTTTTCTTTGGGTTATTATTTTCCTTCGTTAGGTGCATATTGTTCCTTTGAGTGCATATTATGTCTCTTTGAATGTATTGTTTATCTTCTAGTGCATATTTACTTTTTTCTTTCGGTTCATTATTTTCCTTCTTTGAGTGCATATCATTCCTTCTTTGGATGCATATTGTTCCTTCTTTGAGTGCATGTTGTTTCTTCTTTGAGTGCATAACTTAAAACTTAAGGTACATAAGTTTTGACCGTTGGCTGCATAACTTTAGACTTCAAGTGCATAAGTTTAGATCACAAATAAAAATTACATTATGTGTACATAAAATACATTATTTTGTCTATTATCAAATAATGTACTTTTAGTATATTAAAAATGTATATTATATTTATGGAAAGTCCATTATTTAAGTATTAAGAACACATTATTTTTTATAATGTGTATTCAAGTACACAAATAATATATTTTTAGTATATTTAAAATGTACTTTATTTTTAGTATATTCAAAATGTATTTTTTTTTATGGTGTAGTAATGATAGTCCACATAAAAATTTGCCGTCAATGGGTGGGTGATTACTGATTAGGCTATGCTAGAGCTATTACAAATATATAGGTGGGGCGACGGGTATATATATATATATATATATATATATATATATATATATATATATCCGTTGGCTTAGGCTATGCTAGAGGCTAGAGAGCTATTCTTGGCCCAGCCTGTGTAACCAGAAAACCAGTCCATCTTCTACACACCGTGAGGGTGTGTCATTAAGCTTCAAATTACTTAGTTATAAATTTTAAATTATAGACTCTAAATTAGATATAGCACTTTT